GTACGGTTAAGGCGTTCCGTGAGGCCGTTGGTTTGCGGATGGTACGCTGTAGTGAACTTGTGGTGGGTAGAGCAGGATCGCAGGAGCTCGTCGACTACTTTAGATAGAAAACAGCTGCCGCGGTCAGTGATCAACTGACCAGGAGCACCATGACGCAGAATGATGTCATGAAGAAGGAAATCGGCTACATCAGTAGCGCACCTGGCGGGGAGGGCGCGTGTAACGGCATACCGCGTTGCGTAGTCGGTAGCAATAGCAGTCCACTTATTACCGGTGGCCGACACGGGAAAGGGTCCTAGAAGATCGAGGCCGACTCGGAAAAATGGCTCATCTGGTACTTCAATGGGCTGGAGGGTACCAGCAGGTCTCAGAGCAGGTGTCTTGCGGTGCTGGCAGAGGTCGCATGCCGCAACGTACTGTCGCACAGAACGGTAGAGGCCAGGCCAAAAGAATCGGCGGCGAATGCGGTCATACGTGCGTGATACCCCTAGGTGTCCAGCGGAGGGGGCATCATGCAGCTGGGCCAAAACGTCTGAGCGAAGATGCACAGGAACAACGAGTAAAAGCTCAGCACCATCAGGGCGGGTGTTGTAGCGGTGCAAGATGTCATTGTGAAGAACGAACAGTTGTAAGGAGTGGTCAGGGTGGGGAGAGTGCAGACCATTGATAATAGCACGCAAAGAGGGGTCGCGGCGTTGTTCAGCAGCTATGTCGGTGAAGTCGGTAATTGAAAGAACAAGGGCCTCTTGCTCATCTCCCCTCGTGTCAGGGGGATCGACTGGGTAACGGGACAAGCAGTCGGCATCCTTGTGAAGTTGTCCGGATTTATACGATACGGAAAAAGTGCACTCTTGTAAGCGCAGCGCCCAGCGACCAAGGCGTCGCGTAGGGTCCTTGAGTGAGGAGAGCCAGCAAAGCGCGTGGTGACCGGTAATAACTGAGAATGGTCGGCCATACAGGTACGGTCGGAATTTTGCAATGGCCCAGACGAGAGCTAAGCACTCGCGTTCTGTGATGGAATACTTTTGTTCCGAGCGCGACAACAGTCGGCTTGCATACGCGACGACGCGGAGCATGCCTTGTTGCCGCTGCGCGAGCACTGCGCCTATGCCGTGGCCACTGGCGTCGGTACGAAGCTCCGTGGCGGCAGATGGGTCGAAGTGGGCTAGGACTGGTGGATTGGTGAGAATGTCAACGAGCGACGAGAAGGCGTTTGCTTGCTGTTGGCCCCAGGTGAATGCGACATCCGTTTTGAGGAGGCAGGTTAGAGGACGGGCTACTTCAGCAAACTTCTCGACAAAACGACGGAAATAGGAGCACAGTCCCAGAAAACTTCGGACGTACTTGGCTGAGCGGGGTGTGGGGAAGTCGCGAACTGCTTGGACTTTCGCAGGGTCTGGTTGAACGCCCGCAGCGTTAACAAGATGGCCGAGTACGCAGATTTGGCGTTGCCCACAGCGGCATTTGGACGAGTTAAGTTGCAAGTTGGCACGTCGAAAAACATCAAGCAATGTGGACAGACGGGTAAGATGGTCGTCGGAAGTAGTCGAAAAAACAATAACGTCGTCAAGATAGCAGAGGCAGATGGTCCACTTCATGCCTCGAAGGAGAGAGTCCATCATGCGCTCAAATGTCGCGGGGGCATTGCATAATCCAAAAGGCATCATCTTGAACTGATAAAGTCCATCAGGAGTCACGAAGGCAATTTTCCAGTACAATATGGAAGAACATACACTAAGTTCAACATTAATATTTTTCCCAAATAATGATGTTAGAAAGCATGTCCCTCTACATATTTCAATAACCACGTGTTTTATACCAGCGCGACATTGTCAGCATTTCCATTGGAACTTGTGGCCCAAGCCATGTTCCTGCCAATAAGAATAGGCCCACTCGAGCAGTACCGGCTCAAACTTACTTTGACAACATCTAGGTTAATATGGCCTCAACCTGTTCCGTTTTTATTGTGCATCCGCCATTAGGTATTTATGATTCCTTGAAATGTTCTGGGTCATGCATATAGCGCATGTGTGTAACGCTGGTTGTAGTACGATAACTTTCCACATTTTTATCAATGGCCAACAAAGTAGCCAGAAGATAGGACTAAACTTTAGAGAATCATTAACATACTACGTCTTTGTCACCATAGATTCTTCGACATTGGTCAGAAGTTTTCCGTGCGCGCTGAAATCTCTGCCTTGTACGCAGCGTCCATAAATGTGACGTCACCAAACTCACGCAATAATTTTTTGTACAGATGGAATCACACTCGTGTATAACGTCTAGCCGGCCTTTGTAGCTGCCGTTTTCAGCAGAAATATGCAAAAACCAGCGCAGTAATGGTACCAAACACGATCACACCAAAAGCGAGGCCCTTGTTCTTTTTTTTTTCAAGCATGAATGGAAGCTTGTAGCAAACGTGAGGTAAAAGTCACGGTCGAAAACAGTGTGGACCGCTACACGCGTGCTTCGTTGCTTGAGACAAGTACGATTCGGTCCGTACCTAAACAGAGCATTAGTGTGAATAAAAACAGCAAAATGTTTTCGCACTTCCTGTACAGTCTTTTTACGAGCAGATTAGAAGGTGGTCAAGCAGCAGTAATTTAAGCAGCAGCTGTGCTCAGAAGCTTCAAGAATGGACCGTACGCATAACAAGTATTTTAAGCTGTGCGGTATCACACCGTAAATTTTGATTGGTGCGTGAAGCACCGCACTCTGTGAGCATTATATTGAAGAGTACTTCGGTTTGGGCTAGCTGGTTCATAGCACTCATTTTGAAAGGGAAGCGCAACGACACGAAGCCTCTTTGTCTTTCTTTCCTTGTGTCCTTGCGTTGCCCTTTCAAAATGAGTATTACATTGAGGTAGGGTTCATTTTAACGCCTTGAAGCAGGTCGCCTTGATTATTTCTATAGCCATCGCGTGATAAGCGTGGCAAAGTAAACCATTTGAAAACACAGGCAGAACCTTAAACTCTCGAGGTTTCACTTCAGCTCTGCACATTCGTGAACCCATAGCTACGGTGAGCAATACTTAAACTTAGGTTGAAAAAAAGCGATTTTCAGCAAAACGGGTAAAGAGTTTAATATGGCTCCTCACAAAAACATTAACGTTGCCTCTCAGTAGTGGTCTCCAGCTTGAATATTCATGTTCGAGAGAAAAACAACGAACGTAAAACGGAAGGAGTGCAACAGTTCTTTTTTACTTTCCAGATCAGCCAGTATACTCGTTATCTTGGACAGAAACTAACGTGATAAAAAAAGATGCTAGACAAAACTCTTCATCGTAGTCAACCACAGCATTAACAAAGTGCAGATATTGCCTTACAAGTGTAGCAGCGGGTACCACGCTTTTTCAAAGATTGACAAATAATGCATGACATTGCGGACGCTTCCACACCACACAACACTTATGATGAATTATGGCTAGTAGGTACTATGAAAGCATGCTCCTGGTAGTTGCGCAAAGAGTGTTAAAAAAGCTTTAGAAAAGCCGCTTCTTTGGCCTAACTTTGACTGTGCTGCGCATTGCACGCAGGCCTGGCAGTTTTCTTATGTTGCACTTTTTGCCTTTTGATTTCTATTTATATATACTGCTCTTTCTGTTGGTTTTTTTTTATTGCTCACTTGCTTACACTTTCTTCTTTCTATTTTCATACGTGGTTTTACTCCAACCGAAAACAGCAGCACACAACAGCCCGCGCCTCTAAAGCGTATACTGCACACTTAAAAGCTGCTTGCTGTCGTTTAACTGTGATTGCGTCGATAGCGACGTAAACTTGGCATCAGGCAGAACGAGATAAAAACACGACAGGATAGCTTCGCATCATAGAACCCCAGCAGAACGATGACCTGCTTCAGAATGCTAGCGCCCAACACTAAAAAGCGTCACATAGGCAACTTGCACCACAGAGTACCGAACATGTGTTGTGGTGGCCCTGGTAGAACACAGATATACTGTGCAAGCAGAGTATTCGTTATGAGCAACCTAGACTTCAATAAAAATTTCATTCCACCAGCTCACTTGCCGGTACGCAGGTAATGTTGATCGCCCGAAATAGTAAAAAGCATAGAGTGCCCCCCCCCTCCCCCTCCAGGGTATATCACTGTTTAGGGTTTAACGCCCCGAAACCACGATCGACATGATTATGAGAGAAGCTGTAGTGAGTGCTTCGGAAGTCGCGACTGCGTGAAGTTGTTTAACGCGCACACAAATCTATGTGCACTGGCCTCAAGCGTGTTTGCCTCTATCAAAATGCGGTCACCGCGAGCAGGATTCGATCTCGCGACCTTCAGCTAAAGTAGTGTTGTCACAGCATACAAACACCGTGGCGGGTCTTGAAGGAGGGGAGGGGGTAAGTACATCTGTCAGGCAGTGTGCTTAATTGAGGCTGCTAGGTGCATAGCGGTTGAAGAACAAGATAGAGCTTAAGACGGGAAAAGACAGCGTCGTGCTTGTCCCCATCTCGTCCGGCTTTGAGCACCATTTTATTCTACGCTTGTTTACTCGAATAAATCAACCAATAACTTTGACATTAGCGGCGATAGTAAAGCAGGACCGTTTCAGCAAGCACAGCACAAGAATAACAAAAGAGGCGCGGTGAGGGGGACGAAGGTGAATATTGGCAAATTGAGTGGAAGCTTGGCTGAAGCAGTATACCTACACAGACCACTCAATACTTGGTTATGCTGCTTCTACGGTGGTCTCAGTACGAATAACGCTCATCTCTGCTTTCACTGACATTCGCAATGTCTTCCTGTTAATTGACTTTGCAGCAGTAACGCGGGGAGTGTTGATTCTGCAGCAAGGCGCTATTGGAAGCAACTGCGACACTATTGTTTTGTAGTTAAATATAGCAAGCTGTGAAAGATGATTAGTTATTTGGGACCGGGCGGCTGCTTCACCAACAGGCTTCACCAACCGTTCAAAGAAGCAGACTTGTGAATAAATTTTGACATATCCGAATACCGCCGTCACTAACAAACAAGGCAGCGGACTCACCCCGACAACGTCGACGGTGTGAAACCGGAGGGCGATCAACGTCATGGAGCGATAGCGAGCTCGTTCAGCTTGCTGGGTGTGTGTGCGAAATTGCGATTGCAGCGCCACTTGCACTACACGTCAGAAGAAAAACAAAACGAAAGAAATGTCGGGCACATGTGCTAGATAGCAGAAAAAGGATGTTTGTGTCGTTTTCAAGTACGCACGTGACCTCCCTCTCAGGGCGTTTGCGACTGCGGCAAGGGCATTCTCGCGATGGCTGGCGTCTACCACGCATGTACTTTCCCAGGCGTCCGTTAAAGGACCACTGGAGCTGTGCGGACTGTGTGCGCGTGTGCGCGTGTGTGTAGGCGCGTCATTTGTGTGTGTGTGTGTGTGTGTGTGTGCGTGTGTGTGTGTGTGCGTGCGTGTGTATGTGCGTGTGTGTGTGTGTGTGTGTGTGTGTGTGTGTGTGTGTGTGTGTGTGTGTGTGTGTGTGTGCGCGCGCATTGCACAATAGGTCCAGCTTGATGCCCCCATACTCTGCCTCTCCCCCCCTCTGCCGTTCATCATTGGCTGTTTTGTCCCCTGTCTCATTCCTACCGGGCATATACGAAACCTATATCCCTACCAAAGATTGCCATAGAAAGAACTTTTCATTGTAAAGCTAAATAGCTTATCTTTAATAAACCACTCTGCATCACTTGTGATCCATTTGGAACTCACCATTTATGATGTGCTAAAGTTTAAGGTTAAATAATAGCCGATCTAGCACCCGCCGATCTAGCACCGGGGCGTGGCAGACCTGCAGGCTTCCACTTCAGTTTTATGCCTGCGACGCCTGAAAGGCCTGCAAATGGTTCATATCAAATTTGTGTAGGTCATTTGGCCCATCCGGGGTTGTACGAGTAGTGAAGTTTGAGTCTGACCAACGGATTCATCGAGCAGACACAAACATTTCAATAAACAGCAGCAAGCCTTTCATTAAAGTAATAACAAGAGCGAGAGATAACAAAAGTTAACTAAACGAAAAATAAATAAATAAAATAAAAATTCGCTTAATAGAAGTAAACTAACTGCAAAACTAACTATGCTCTAATATAACAAACATAACAACGCGGAATGTTAAAAAATATGCGGGCTTGAAGAAAACAAAATTAAAATACAAATATTGTAAATAATGATTGCGCTCCCGTATTTCGACTGCTCGTGCGACTCAATGCACACTAAAACATCATTTAAAAACTGGGGTAATTTAATGGTTAAAAAAAATCTTAATAAAAAGTTACATAAGGGCCGAGCCCAGTTCGTGGTTCACATAGGCGAGTGGACGGGGTGCCATTGAAGTTCTCGCTGGCTTGGCAGGCGACGAGGATACGCGACCTTTCAGCCATTTCAATGAATACGTGGGCAGGACACTCCATCATCATCATCATCATCATCATCATCATCATCATCATCATCATCATCATCATCATCATCATCGTCATCACCAGCAGCAGCAGCACCAGCAGCAGCAGCCTGGCTACGTCCACTGCAGGACAAAGGCTTCTCCCAGGTTCCGCCAGTCAACTCGGTCCTGTGCTTGCAGCTGCCAATTCATACCCGCAAACTTCCTAATCTCATCTGCCCACCTAACCATCTGTCTCCCCGTAACACACCTGTCTTCTTTCGGAATCCAGTTAGTCACCATTTATGACCAGCGGTTATCCTGTCTACACGCTACATGCTCGGACCATTTCCATTTCCTCTTCTTGATTTCTACTATGATATCCTTAACCCCGGTTTGTTTCCTGATCCACTCTGCTCTCTTCTTGTCTCTCAAGGTTACACCTACCATTTTCCTTTCCATTGCTCGCTGCGTCGTTCTCAATTTAAGTTGAACCCTCATTGTAAGACTACAGGTCTCTGCTCCGTAGCTAAGTAGCGGCAAGATGCAGCGGTAATATACCTTCCTTTTGAGGGATAGTGACAACCTACCTGTCTTGTTTTGAGAGTGCTTGCCAAATGGGCTCCACCCCATTCTTATTCTTATAATTACTTCAATCTCTTGGTTCGGCTCCGGGGTTATTACCTGTACTAAGTAGACATAGTACTTTACAACTTCAAGTGCACTATTATCCATCTCCCTAGTGCTTCAAAACAGGGGCACTCCGTACTCCCCGCTTAAGTGAGACTCACGGCACCGATGACAGCCTTTTTCGCTTGTGCAACATCAACTGCCGATTGTGAAGCAGTCAACCATTTTCGGTGTGTACGTGTCCCCCTGATACGCCTGTAAGTAATTTTTCTTAAAACACATGCGTGTCCTTTTCGGTACAGGTCTAGGGAAGATGCGGTGGAAGTCATCATGCCCAACACAAAAGCCACTTTCCTTGGACGAGGGGCGCGTGGACGAGAATCGCCGTCCTTTGTGACATAAGTGATATTCCAGATTTCAGATTCTTATCAATTGTTTATGGTTCTCTCGTGTGGACTCAAAATTCTTTTTTCGGGCGTTGTTGCCTTCCGCGCCCAAGCAGTGTGGTCGCATGGGCCAGGGTCAGCAGCATCACTTGAATACAACGTCACTGGTAACCAGGGTTACCGCTGTTCAATGACACTTCCTAGAGATCGCTCATAGTACCTAGTGGCCCTAAAAATTGCTGCTGTACCGATTCAACAAGTGATCAGAACTGAGCTTTATAGCTTTCTTGAAATTTACAACAGGTGCTACTTATAAGATAAGATATATACGCGAGATAATTATTGGTCTCATCCGCCTACATAAATGAAATTGGTGCCAAATGTTCACTTTTGATCGCGATCAGACCTGGTGGGAATCGGTTTTCTTGTTTATGACTGACTTCTTTACTCCAACTGCAAAACAAAGCCAGTCAATGTTAAGCAATGTGGTCAAGATCGGGCGTAATCATGATCAGCAGTACGTCGTATGACACCGGTACATGATTGAATAATTACCATTAACTACGGCAGGCATCGGGTGTTTTTAAACTGAATATTTAAAGGGGCTTGTGCTTTAACGCTATCCCGCTAATAAAAAAAAAACAAGCATGACTGTGCGTCAAAGTATCGGCCCACAAGAGTATTTGCCATTCACATCATCAAACATGCAAAGAAAGTCGAATCAACAAAATACGTGTCTTTTAAGTTACCACTTTTGGGACGTTAAATCCCACTTATCAATCTGACTACAGCTGCTGACTACAGTACTCATTTCTTGCTATCGTGAGTCAGTAGTAAAAGAGTAACTACAACTGTCTGTGCCTACACCTTCGGCCCACTGTAACATCAAACACCACAAGCAACTGCCAAGGCACATCGGCAAGGAACTTTGTGCAAGTCCTTACAGTTCAGACTGTATATTCATACGTGACACAATTTAATGTTGCAGCCGCATATCTCAGTACGCTGTCATACTAGAAGAATTCGTCCAAGTTGAAGTGTGAGTAGGACTGTCTGCAACTTTGTAATAGTAGCATGCCCACCCACTGCAGTCTCCAAACTGTTCACAACTAAATTTCAGTGAAATAACCACCTGACAAAATGACTAATATCCGAACCCTTTACTGCGTCTTTTCTCATAATCGTATCGTAGTTTTGGTACTTCAAATCATATTATTATATTTATGGGGCAAGAAGCATCTCGGACAAACGGAGATGGGCCGGCTCGTCTGATTTCTGCTTCATCCGCGTTCGTCGCCTCTCCTCGTTCTCTATTACCCGCGTGTAGAACATGCTATGCATACGGGGATGTTATCAATTGGAACTTCATATGGACATGAGGGTAGCAAGAAAAGCCTGACGGGACTGCGCATGCAATTGCTATCACAGTAGAAAAAGCAAATAACTCTGCGTATACTGAATAAACCCGGCACAGTCAAAGTCTATAGCCGTTGGCTGCGCATACAGCGCATGCACACAGTCTTGACCAATTCCTTAGCGCGCTCCACTGCACGAGACTGTTTATTTATAGATTACTGTAACAGATTATATAATGTAAATGTATAATGTATAATGTATATAATGTAAAGAGCTTAACTGTAGAGAAGAAGACGAAGTGATTCGTTTACGGAACACATCTTGCTCGTCTTTGTGCTTTTCTGGTTTTTTCGCCGCAGTTGTGGGGTCTATCGCCCCATATATCGTGGTGATGGATGTTCAACCTCACGGGGCACCGTCCGAGTCCGGTTCGACCGCTGGGACTGCTTCGAGGAAGCGAGGAAACGCGTCCAGTGAGAGTGAGGACACTGAGCTATACTCCGCATCAAGCGACGAGTCCTCGGACGACGGCTTCCAACCCGTCCTGTACCGCAAGGCTAAACGACGGATCGTCAATGCATCTTCGGCATCAAGCACGACTACCGTGAAAACTGCCCCTCAGCGATGGCCTCACTCTATCCTGTTTGTGCCACTGAAGGCTACCGACAGTCTACGCGGGCTGAACAGGCAAGCGCTCTCTGTGTATCTCGAGAATATTACGCCAAATCAGATCAAAGAAATACGTCTAAACGCAAGAAAGAACATCTTGGCAATCGATGTGCTGAACCCACGTGCGCTAAACGCGCTTCAGAAAGTAACGCAACTGGGTAACATCAATGTCAAGTCTATAATACCAGCTGATAGCACCACGTCAACAGGAGTAATTTATGACATCGCCACTGAAATTCCAGAATCGGATCTTTCAGTGCTAATAAAACCGGCAAATGAAGATAACGTCATTGTGAATGTCAGTCGCCTAGGTAACACACATTGTGTGAGAATTACGTTCAAAGGGGACTGTCTCCCCTCCCATGTGAAGGTTGGCCACTTTCGTCACCAGGTCCGACCATTTATTCCAAAACCTATGCGATGTCATAAGTGCCAGAAGATCGGCCATGTGCAGGGAGCGTGCAGGAACTCCGAAGTGTGCCCCCGATGCTCAGAACCACATACCGAGGACAAATGCAGCGCAACCATACTAAAGTGCCCTAATTGTCAAGGTGCCCACAGTGCATCTTCCAAAGACTGTCCACGCATAAAGAAGGAGTTTACTATTCTTAGACAAATGGTGCGAGACAGCTCTACCCACAAAGAGGCCGCGGAAAAAGTCCGGCGAAGACGACGACGTCACCGTCGAAGATCTTCGCGAAGGACGCAGTCAACTACAAGAAGTAAGCCAACGCATCTGGGAACGGCGCCCACTGCAGGGTACACCGCGGCGAACGCAGACGATGGAAAACAGAAAACAAGTAGATCTCTCTCTACTGAAGATTGGCCGCCACTTACGCGCACGCAACTTGTGGAAGAACCACATCAGAAGCCGCATTCATCAGAGCAAGCTGCGACAACAGAGGAGCAGCGGAACTTGGATAAGCAAGTGGTTGCTCTTCTACGACCCATAATTAATGCCATTCGCACTGTGTTAAACAACATGCGCACAACGTCAGCCAAAAGTGCACTTCAAGTACTGGACGCCCTGAGTCCAGTACTGGCGGCTCTTGAGTAGATAATGGCCCACCAGCCACTGTCTTTCAGGGAAGAGGTCAAAAAAGCAACAATTTTTCAGTGGAATGCACGGGGACTGAAATCACGCATTGCAGATTTCCGTCGGTTCGTTTTCACTAATATGTTTCCCATCATCGTCATCTGCGAGCCAAATTTATCGAGCGCTATTAGACTCTCCGGATACGAATCCTTTATGTCGGCTTGTTATAGTGGAAACAGCAAGGTCCTGCTGTTTATTCGACGTGACCTGACCTACATTATTCGGCCTGTACCACCTGACAACGATAACCAATATATATGCTTAACAGTGAAGAAAAGGGGTCTTACTGTTACTGTTGTCGGTGCATACCTGTCGCCATCAAGTAGATTTGACCACAAAAGACTAGGACACATCCTATCATCCACTCCTGGCCCATGGGTGATCATCGGAGACTTCAACGCCCACCATACGCTATGGGGGAGCCCGAAGATCAGCGCAAAGGGTAGAAGTCTGATAACGTTTGCTTCAGACAACGAGCTTTGCTTGTTAAATGATGGCAGCGCAACATTTTTACGTGGCCCTGGATACAGCAGTTGCCTTGACTTGACTTTTGTTTCTCGAGGTCTTGTCAGATGTGCCGGATGGTTTGCGGACATAGAAACACATGGGAGCGACCACATTCCCACATATGTCAAGATCAGAGGATTATCACCTTGCAAGGTACGCGAAACTATCCAAAGAGTAGACTGGACCAAGTTTGAATCTCTCATGGAAGAACGCTGTCAAGAGAACACCTCATTTGACTTAGAAGAGGTGATCAAGTCCACAGTGCAAGACACAGTGTGCACCCTCACATGCTCTTCGAGAGTAACCGAATTTGATGTGGAATTAGAACGACTTCGGGCTCTCCGACGGCGTGCGGAACGAAGGTACCGACGCACGAAAGCAATCGACGATTTACGAATCGCTAGACGTCTTCAGAAGAAGATACAACGCCGCATAGACAAGCTAGAGTCACAACGTTGGGCAGCCTTCTGCGCTTCGTTAGATCCTCGCAAGCCTTTATCACACTTGTGGAGGACAATAAGAGGGCTCCGGACATCTCCCATTCAGCGGTCTCCATTCAAGGCTCTAGCCCTCTCTCAACAGAGATCGGAGGTCGACGTGGCAGAAGAGTTCTGTGCCAACTTATCTGGTCAACTCGCAGATCCCAACATCTCCACGCTCTCACGCGGTGGCACGACATCACACGATCACCCCATGGACCAATTTTTTTCTATTCATGAGCTTCAAGCAGCACTGGCTTTGTGTAGACGGACATCAGCACCCGGGCCTGATGGAATATCATACAGAGCACTGTGTCACCTTGGTGAGTGTGCGAGGAGTGCCCTCCTCGAGATATACAACGACTCGTGGCGAGAAGGCACCCTCCTAGTTAACTGGAAGACCAGCCGTTTGGTTCCATTACTGAAGCCTGGCAAGTCACCATTGGTGCTCACATCATACCGCCCGATTGCACTGGCTAGTTGCTTGGGCAAAGTGATGGAGAGGATGGTACTTGGACGGCTAGAATGGTTCCTGGAGCATCACAACATCTACCCGGACGCTATGACGGGATTTCGCCGTGGCCGGTCATCAATTGATAGCGTCATAGACCTGGTCACCTACGTGCAGCACGAAAAAGGCCGTAAGCGTCTCTGCGCTTCTTTATTTCTTGATGTTAAAGGGGCGTACGATAACGTCACACATGAAGCTGTCCTCACCGCTCTCAAGGAGGTAGGAGTGGGTGGTCGGATGTTTCAGTGGATACGCAGCTATCTCTCTGAGCGATCGGTTTTCTTGTTTATGACTGACTTCTTTACTCCAACTGCAAAACAAAGCCAGTCAATGTTAAGCAATGTGGTCAAGATCGGGCGTAATCGTGATCAGCAGTACGTCGTATGACACCGGCACATGATTGAATAATTACCATTATCTACGACAGGCATCGGGTATTTTTAAACTGAATATTTAAAGGGGCTTGTGCTTTAACGCTATCCCGCTAATAAAAAAAACGCAGCATGTCTGCGCGTCAAAGTACTGGCCCACAAAAGTATTTGCCATTCACATGATTAAACATGCAAAGAAAGTCGAATCAACAAAATTCGTGTCTCTTAAGTTACCACTTTTGGGACGTTAAATCCCACTTATCAATCTGACTACAGCTGCTGACTAGAACACTCATTTCTTGCTATCGTGAGTCAGTAGTAAAAGGGTAACGACAACTGTCTTTGCCTACACCTTCGGCCCGCTGTAACATCAAACACCACAAGCAACTGCCAAGGCACATCGGCAAGGAACTTTGTGCAAGTCCTCACAGTTCAGAGTGTATATTCATACATGACACAATTAAATGTTGCAGCTGCATATCTCAGTCTGCTGTCATACTAGAAGAATTCGTCCAAGTTGAAATGTGAGTAGGACTGTCTGCAACTTTGTAATAGTAGCATGCCCACCTACTGCAGTCTCCAAACTGTTCATAACTAAATTTCAGTGAAATGACCACCTGACGAAAAGACTAATATCCGAACCCTTTACTACGTCTTTTCTCATAATCATATTGTAATTTTGGTACTTCAAACCATATTATTATATTTATTTAAGAAGCATCTCGGACAAACGGAGATGGGCCGGCTCGTCTGATTTCTGGTTCTTCCGCGTTCGTCGCCTCTCCTCGTCCCCTATTACTCGCGTGTAGAACATGCTATGCATACGGGGATGTTATCAATTGGAACTTCATATGGACATGAGGGTAGCAAGAAAAGCCTGTCGGGACTGCGCGTGCAATTACTATCACAGTAGAAAAAGCAAAGAACTCCGCGTATACTTAATAAACCCGGCACAGTCAAAGTCTCTAGCCATTGGTGGTGGTGGTAGTGGTTAGAAGAAAGAGGAAAAAGGCACCTAATTTCTGTCTGCCTTCAGGCGACACGGCGCAGTGCCTTATAGGAGGGGGGGGGAAGGAGGGATAAAAAGAATAGAAGGAAATAGACGAAGAAGTAGACAGGCAAGCGACGGAAAAAAGAAGGAGATAGGAAAGTGGGGATCCGGTCGAAGCAGTCCAAGGGCGGGGCGCCACAATGCGAGAGCTGCACGGCGTCAGGAGACCGCGGAGGGCGAACCAGTCGGCGGGAGCTACGCTGGCGTCGGAGATCGCGAGGGCACAACCGTCCAGCTTGAAATCCTGCGAGCGAATCCTCTAGCCGTTGGCTGCGCATACAGCGCATGCACACAGTCTTGATCAATTCCTTAACGCGCTCCACTGCACGAAACTGTTTACTTATAGATTACTGTAACAGATTATATAATGTAAAGAGCTTAGGAGAAGAAAATTGCTGTTTAGTGTGCTTTGTGTGCTTGGGGATGACAGGAAGGTCTTGTTACCGTAGATTATTAGAAGCTATACAATATCCCATGCTGATGCGATACTGTTGAACTATTTCGAGAGCATACTCTACTTCGCCCGTGTTTCAAGGGTATTAGCGGCGAAAAAAGATATTTTGCAGCTCCAATACTTTCTGTAACATGACCCACGCAGATGAGATGCATTTTATTTGGTCAGGTATGACATATTTTTACTATATTACGCAGAGTTAGAACAGAATTTTTCAATGCTAGTTATGGTATTCGCAACAAGGACTGGATTTTCTAGCAGCCGTCTTCGTATACTTGGTATTTCTTCGTGCCACACAAGAGGGCATACACGAACTGGCAACAAGTGTTCGGTTCGTTAAGAGCCTGGTCTTTCACCCAGTAACTGCAGCCTGCGCCTGAAACAAAGAAGTGCAACAAGGCAGTTAATTAGTCTTGACCACTGTGAGTTTCTTTGTTTTATTGTTGTTATAACAAGATATTTATCAGGTAAGCAATGTGCCATTTTATAACACGACATCGTTGCCTTTGCAACAAAGCTACTGGAAAAATACCCTGGATAACTTCTGCCGTACTAGTATCTGCAGATATCGCGTTAAATGTCCTTGAAAGACAAAAATATACTTGTTTTGCAAGATTTGCAGTGTGATGTGAAGTCGCATAGTCAGTGTTTTTTTTATGTCTTCTATACTTCAGGGCTTTCAAGTGGAAACAGCAAAAAAAGGGGAAAGTCTGAATTTCGTATAACACTGCCATACAACAGCAAAGATAGTATTTACCAGCCTATTAGGATTCTTTTCAATTTCCATCGACGCTCAGCAGTTATGCAAAGCGTCATCTGTCTCTCTCCCCAACTCGTAATTAAGTTTAGTTGGGAGATCATGAATATAAAGATGTTGCAGCATGTCAGTCCTTCTGCACTCTGCTTCCTAAGTGAACGATTAACAGTTTGACCACAACCACTGCTGCGGAGTTGCCACTCAGGAATTGGAATGAATCCGGAATTATTCCAAATTTTTGCAACAACGGAATGATATAGAGCTAAGCTCATTTTTCATGGAATAGAATAGGGATGAAATTATGTCGTTTTCCGCTCAATGTGCACAAATAGAGCACAATTTGTTGACGTGCTCTTTTTCAAACTACAAACATTAGTGAGACATGCACTCGAATCTAGCAATAAACCAGTAGTTTAAAAAGGTGTGGCCGATTATTCGAGCTCATTTATATGCAACGCGCCTACTATAATTCTGTCATTGTATAGACTTGTGGCTCCAAAGTTCTCATTTATTCAAGTCCCCACGGCTCTATGCCATGGTAACCGTCTTGCGGAACTATATAATGGCGGCATACCAACCTTGTGTTTTTTTCGCCCCTTGGTGAAGCCTCAGCCACCTGCTGTCTCCCCATCGTTCACTTTGGTTTTGGTTCTGCCACCGTCAGTGACTCGGATGCGTACTCGAATAAGTGCGTCTTTAATTGGTGATGCATACTGGCACCGGTGCGACGCTTGTATTTACTGCAAGCTCTAGTATACCAGCTTGCACGCAGTCTTGCCACATATTACCCTCGCCCCCATCCTCCTGTTTTTTTTTTGCAGTACTGTCTCCCCTAACTACACACATGGGTGCCTTCCAAGAAACTCTATCGCAAAGGTCTGTCGGCCAGTGCAGTACACATTCGTACACGATGAACCTTGTGTTGTGTGAGCTGTATGTGAGATGAACTATTGTACCAAGATGAACCATACAGAGATCGATAGAATGAACTTATGAAAGCATTGGGTAGCCAGCTGAAGCAAGCGATCACACGTAACCAAGGCGGTGCATCACCAAATTTGTCCGCGAATATTCTCGAACTGGTCATTTTAGCATTACCAATATAACATTAAATAATATTAAAACGACATTCGTTTAAACATTCACTCTTTGAAGAAAGGCTTGCTTATTCATGAAGTAATAAACGTTTTCTGTCACAAAAACTACTCACAATATAGTACTTGAATGTAGTAAAATACTGACTAGTGAAACTTGCTAGTTTGCAAAGTAGATCGTGAATGGTGCTGACTTGGATAATAATAGGTTACTGAAGTTAAGCTATTGGCTGCTTATATATGCATTTACAGTGTCACATCAAAATTATTTATTTACATTAGTACGTACATATATATATATATAGGGTTCAGCTGTATTTTAGCAGAGGGCTATGTAGGCTGGACGTGTCACTAGAACTTCTTGTTGTGCATGCATGGGGTGCCGAAAGTCGTCAAGGTCTATATATTAAAGTTGACGTTATGCGGTGATTGATGCAAACATTTCATTACTTTCACACAAAGTTTCTTGCATTTCGCCGCTCTCTAGAATTATATATAAAGTGGTCCTAACCTTTTCATCTACTATTCGACGTTATTAGGCTAGCCGTAGATGTAATTACTGTTAAATGTATCTGACTTGCGACTGAGCATCACAACTTTTACCAGAGTTTTATTCGCTGCCCCAAAACGCCCTCAATATAGGATACAGCCTTAAAGGCTGCGCCAGTGTATTCTTTAGCAGGTATAAACTTTTTACGTTTACTTTTCTTGTGCTCCAAACACCCGCGAGTATATGCTCAACATAACAGTGACATAGAAGCAACCGATTAGTTCGCAAAACAGGTGCGCGCAGCTCATCATTTGACAGGAAACGTCAAAGTGGAAGTGCGACGACTAGAAAACAGCAAAAAGCCAACATTTCGGACACTTTCAAACGAACAATGTCAAAATTGAGCGGGACAGGAAGAGGTTAGGAGAGCATGAACGCGTGAGAAGGAGAGTCATCTAGGGCACTCAGCCGGCTTAAGCTCCCCGTTTTCTTTTTTTAGTTGGAAATCTGAATTTTCAAACATTCAAGTAAAGATAAGGTGAGCTACGAGACATGTGAAGGTGGTGAAGAAAGGCGCCAGAATCGATGCTTGAGTTTCCTGATCAGAAATCATTCTGCCGCGGATATCTGTCAACAGCGCAGTGAACGGGCACTTCCTTCAAATTGTAATGTATTTTCGTACATAAACTGAAAAGAGGTGGTCTTCGGGTATCCAGAACGTACAGGTCCAAGTGCCTACATCGAGCCATGATGATAATTTGGTTGAATGCCTCTATGAAGACGCCATTATTGAAGTAAGACACAGTATGCTATTTTAATCGTTTACATTAATGCCGAACTAGGCAAGAAACTGGCCAGACACCATGCAGTGGGGGACAACGGCATTGGCTCTAGAAATGCCAAAAGGAAGCTATTAGTAGAGTTAACAGAACGCAATAATCTATATATCTTGAATTTTTTTTACCGAAAATGGGCTAATCGAAAGAGGATGGGGCGAAGTCCAAATGGCAAAACTAAACATGAAATAGCCCTCATTCTGTGTCCACACCCAGGCATTGTAAAGAGTGTAGAAGTAGTTGGCAAGATCCGATGCAGTGACCATAAAATGGTAAAAGCTCGTATTATCCTAGATTTACGAATATAGCAAAGGCATAAACTGATACGCAAGAAGCAATTTAATGAACTAGGGGTGAGGCGGGAAGTACAGGATTGCAGTGATTCGCTTCAAAATAGATTCGAGGCTCTAAACGAGGCAACCGACGCAAGCGTTAACACAATTTACGATAACCCTAATAGTATCACCTAATAGTGTGTAATGGTGGGTGGAGGTACAGTCACAAGACAGAACACTGGCAAAGAATCTCAGGGGACGAAAAATCTCATTAAGAGTCGAGATATTATGAAAGCCTCAAATGCAACTGACAAGACAGAGTTGGCGGAGTGAAAGCAAGTGCAGTTTCAAAATCATAGGTGTAAAGTAGTCGACATCAGAATTTATCGTATGGAGATAATTAAGCAGACTGTAAAAAGTAGCAGAAGCCTAAAAGTTGCAATGGCAAACTTGTACATATGCAAGCATCAGATGAATGCAATAAGAGATAAGAAAGATTTTATGTCAAAACCCATATGGCTAAGTTAGTTGAGGTAGCAGATGAGTTACGCACAAATCCGTAGAGAATCCGAAACAACCAGGATGAATCGTAAGAAGCAATAATAGCCCAGAGGATTATGACATCCTACCAGTAACAATAGCCAAAGTAAGGAAAGCCTAGATGGAAGGCAGAGAGACAAAACCACTGGTGAGGATACGGAAACAACAGACCTGATAAGAGATGGCGGAGAAACTCTGATGAAAAAACTGGCCACCTTATATGCGAAGTGTATCTTGACGGGAAGAGTACCAGAGTGTTGAAAGAATGCCAACATCAAAATAATCGATAAGAAAAAAGATGTCATTTGAAAGATGTCACTTGAAGTTGCCACTTGAAAAATTTTAGGCCGATCAGCTTACCCAGCTTACCGCACCTTCTCTACAAACTATTCACAAAAACAATAGCTAATAAAAGTAAGGCGACATTACAGTTCAATCAACCAAAAGACCAAGAAGATTTTCGTACAGGCTAGTCACAACAGACCATATCCATGCAATCAATAAGATAATAGGAATACGCTGAATACACCCAACCCTTATATATTGCTTTCATAGGTTCCGAGAAGGCATTCAACTCAGTCGAGACATCACCAGTAAAGCTGGCACTACGGAATCAGTGCGTTGAAGAACCCTATATAAAAATACTGGAAGAAATCTACAGTGAATCCACAGCCACCATACGTTTTCCTAAACAAAGCGACAAAATCCCAATAAAAAATGTATAAGGCAGGAAGACAAAATCTCTCCTGTGATTCTTCTCCACTGCATGTTTGCCGGAGGTTTTCAGGGCAGTAGATTGTGAAGAGTTAAGAAAGAGTTAATGAAGGGTATCTAAGTAACCTGCGATGTGTTGATGACAACGCCTTGATCAGTGCTTCGGGCGATGAATTAAGGCCGATTATTACTGAACTGTACGTACAATAAAAGCATAAGACTAAGTCTGAAAATTAATATGCACAAAGCTAATGTACAACAGTCTTTACAGAAAACAGCTCTTTGTGATAGGTGGTGAGACGCTGGAAGTTGTTAAGGAATATGTCTACTTAGGACAGGTAGTAACCGCGGATCCGAAACATCAGAGTGAAAAATAGAAGTATAAGGATGGGGTAGATCACATTCGGCAAGTATTCTCAAATCACGAACGGCAATCTACCACTAAACCTCAAGAGGAAAGATTAAAACAGATACATCTTGCCGCTACTTGCCTACAGAGCAGAAACCTGAAGGCCTACAAAGAGGGTTCCGCTTGATTTGAGGATGACTGTCACAGGTGAGCGCTCACGAAAGCGCAGACCTCCGAATTCTAGCGCCACTCGCTCGCGCCCAACGATGGCGTAAAAGAAAAAAAACATGAAAAGACTACTCGGCCACACCATTTTTTCTA